CTCTTGTTAACTCTCGCCGAGACCTGCGAATCCATATCATCAGCTGAATCTGTAGGAGCACTGACATCAACCTGTTCCTTGGCACGAGTAGCCGAATCATTCTTGGGGCACTGAGAACGGACATGTCCATGGGTATGACATCTGAAACAGATAGGCAGTCTTCCTGGTGCAGTGATCAACATACTCTGTTTGTCCCCGAATTTCACAATATGCGGTATGTGCTCCTTTTCAGTCTCAGTAAGTTCCATCTTCACTATCCGGACTCCAGAGAAAATATCAACTCCGTCTATTGACTCATACTCCCTCAGGACATCCAACACTTTCCCAAACTTCGAGAAATAATCCTTAAGAAAGACACTCCGGACAGTGGCATGTAGCCAGTGAACTCGCAAAGGCACCATAAACGTGCCATAGCTGTAGAAATACACCTTGTCGTTCCCGACACTAACGCACTGTAAATCCAAAAGTTCCCGAGCACAGTCTACATCCTTCATGGTTAGGTACACTTGACCATATCTTTCTGTCTTCCATACTCCTCTACAGGCAGACAAGTTGAACTCAGGCACAGAAGTCTTTAAGTACGACACAAGCTCCTTCACAGACGATATCTTGGCGGTCAAGTAAATCCTCACAGTCCTAGCAACAACGTCCTGGTCCACATACTCGGCAGGTATGGGACCCTCGTTGACTGCTGCAGTGAAAGCCATGGTAGATGCAAGGAGACTATTAAAAGTCACACGAATGCTATGCAAACGATGCCTTACGTAGACCTGTAGATAAAATGGCAATAAAGTACAAAGCACAAAGTGAACATGTAACAAAACATAAACAGTCTGACTGACTCCCTAAGGAGATGATCGCTTCTGGATTTGGCCAAGATACTACACTTTGATCTTAGCCAAAAGGCCGAGAAGCGATGCCGGTTGCCGGCTTGCGCCGCCAAAGTACATCTACTGACACAACATACCATTTAGCTGCTGTTTATTTACATGAAGCGCTTAAAATCAGTGGCCAGCAATATTACATGCACAAATGAGTAAAAATGTTGACAGCACACGAGTGCGACACCCGAATGCTAGACGTTTGTGAAGATATTCAGCGTCTTTGATGAATGTAAAAATGGAGTAAATAGACCCATTTTGCTATGTATAAAGAGTGCGCCGATAAAACATGGCCAGACGTTGGGTAAACGTCCTGCAGCGACCCAGTCCAACGTGAATACCGGCCGCGACATTAGGACTTAATGAGTGGAGTCGGGGAGGCAAGGGGAGACAGGCCAGCTTGAATTAGCTTGGGCCCGACTTTGACAGAGTCGCGCGTGGGTAAGAAGAGTGACAATCCCATCCAAATTGCCCCAATGTATTAAATAAACTAAAGGTAAAGATACTTAAGGTGTCCAGTAAAGCGAAAAATTAATGAATTGTATGAAAAATTGCACTGAAGACGAAACAAAAACGACTGAACTGTAATGAATATTGGAAAATGAACTCACTTGCACAAAGTGTAACGACGCATCAGGCGTGTGTGTAGTTCTTTAAACATCTATTTAGGGGGATGCGACGTTGAAAAACATCTTGTAGTGACGAAGCAGACTGTTGTTGTGACGGCGTGATTGTCTGGACGTCATTTCCGGCGTACGGCGTCATGGGCGACGGCCTTGGTTACGGGGGACTGCATGCAGCTGAAAGTTGAAAAATGCTACTTTTACAAACTTTTAGGGGTTGGTGTGGTTAAAGGACGGGCTGCACGTGTGAACAGGTATATTTCTAAGGTTTAGAAGTAATAAAATAGAGTATCTATTGAGAACTAAGGGCGAAAAACGGAGCGGCAGTGCAAAATAAGACGAATGTGAAGATGTAGGCAAAGCTGAGAGTTCTAATTTTTGATTGAAATATGAGTGGTGGGCCATTCCCGGAGGTACTGCAATACCGGGTCAACCCGTGATGAGGGCGGAGCAAGCCCCGTGGCACCTCATCCCATTCTAAAAATCAGTTTAATATCGATGTCTCCATTAGGAGACGTATCAGATATTAAGCTGATAAGAACAGATACTACACTTTGATCTTAGCCAAAAGGCCGAGAAGCGATGCCGGTTGCCGGCTTGCGCCGCCAAAGTACATCTACTGACACAACATACCATTTAGCTGCTGTTTATTTACATGAAGCGCTTAAAATCAGTGGCCAGCAATATTACATGCACAAGTGAGTAAAAATGTTGACAGCACACGAGTGCGACACCCGACTGCAAGACGTTTGTGAAGATATTCAGCGTCTTTGATGAATGTAAAAATGGAGTAAATAGACCCATTTTGCTATGTATAAAGAGTGCGCCGATAAAACATGGCCAGACGTTGGGTAAACGTCCTGCAGCGACCCAGTCCAACGTGAATACCGGCCGCGACATTAGGACTTAATGAGTGGAGTCGGGGAGGCAAGGGGAGACAGGCCAGCTTGAATTAGCTTGGGCCCGACTTTGACAGAGTCGCGCGTGGGTAAGAAGAGTGACAATCCCATCCAAATTGCCCCAATGTATTAAATAAACTAAAGGTAAAGATACTTAAGGTGTCCAGCAAAGCGAAAAATGAATGAATTGTATGAAAAATTGCACTGATGACGAAACAAAAACGACTGAACTGTAATGAATATTGGAAAATGAACTCACTTGCACAAAGTGTAATGACGCATCAGGCGTGTGTGTAGTTCTTTAAACATCTATTTAGGGGGATGCGACGTTGAAAACGTCTTGTAGTGACGAAGCAGACTGTTGTTGTGACGGCGTGATTGTCTAGACGTCATTTCCGGCGTACGGCGTCATGGGGGACGGCCTTGGTTACGGGGGACTGTATGCAGCTGAAAGTTGAAAAATGCTACTTTTACAAACTTTTAGGGGTTGGTGTGGTTAAAGGACGGGCTGCACGTGTGAACAGGTATATTTCTAAGGTTTAGAAGTAATAAAATAGAGAATCTATTGAGAACTAAGGGCGAAAAACGGGGCGGCAGTGCAAAATAAGACGAATGTGAAGATGTAGGCAAAGCTAAGAGTTCTAATTTTTGATTGAAATATGAGTGGTGGGCCATTCCCGGAGGTACTGCAATACCGGGTCAACCCGTGATGAGGGCGGAGCAAGCCCCGTGGCACCTCATCCCATTCTAAAAATCAGTTTAATATCGATGTCTCCATTAGGAGACGTATCAGATATTAAGCTGATAAGAACAGATACTACACTTTGATCTTAGCCAAAAGGCCGAGAAGCGATGCCGGTTGCCGGCTTGCGCCGCCAAAGTACATCTACTGACACAACATACCATTTAGCTGCTGTTTATTTACATGAAGCGCTTAAAATCAGTGGCCAGCAATATTACATGCACAAGTGAGTAAAAATGTTGACAGCACACGAGTGCGACACCCGACTGCAAGACGTTTGTGAAGATATTCAGCGTCTTTGATGAATGTAAAAATGGAGTAAATAGACCCATTTTGCTATGTATAAAGAGTGCGCCGATAAAACATGGCCAGACGTTGGGTAAACGTCCTGCAGCGACCCAGTCCAACGTGAATACCGGCCGCGACATTAGGACTTAATGAGTGGAGTCGGGGAGGCAAGGGGAGACAGGCCAGCTTGAATTAGCTTGGGCCCGACTTTGACAGAGTCGCGCGTGGGTAAGAAGAGTGACAATCCCATCCAAATTGCCCCAATGTATTAAATAAACTAAAGGTAAAGATACTTAAGGTGTCCAGCAAAGCGAAAAATGAATGAATTGTATGAAAAATTGCACTGATGACGAAACAAAAACGACTGAACTGTAATGAATATTGGAAAATGAACTCACTTGCACAAAGTGTAATGACGCATCAGGCGTGTGTGTAGTTCTTTAAACATCTATTTAGGGGGATGCGACGTTGAAAACGTCTTGTAGTGACGAAGCAGACTGTTGTTGTGACGGCGTGATTGTCTAGACGTCATTTCCGGCGTACGGCGTCATGGGGGACGGCCTTGGTTACGGGGGACTGTATGCAGCTGAAAGTTGAAAAATGCTACTTTTACAAACTTTTAGGGGTTGGTGTGGTTAAAGGACGGGCTGCACGTGTGAACAGGTATATTTCTAAGGTTTAGAAGTAATAAAATAGAGAATCTATTGAGAACTAAGGGCGAAAAACGGGGCGGCAGTGCAAAATAAGACGAATGTGAAGATGTAGGCAAAGCTAAGAGTTCTAATTTTTGATTGAAATATGAGTGGTGGGCCATTCCCGGAGGTACTGCAATACCGGGTCAACCCGTGATGAGGGCGGAGCAAGCCCCGTGGCACCTCATCCCATTCTAAAAATCAGTTTAATATCGATGTCTCCATTAGGAGACGTATCAGATATTAAGCTGATAAGAACAGATACTACACTTTGATCTTAGCCAAAAGGCCGAGAAGCGATGCCGGTTGCCGGCTTGCGCCGCCAAAGTACATCTACTGACACAACATACCATTTAGCTGCTGTTTATTTACATGAAGCGCTTAAAATCAGTGGCCAGCAATATTACATGCACAAGTGAGTAAAAATGTTGACAGCACACGAGTGCGACACCCGACTGCAAGACGTTTGTGAAGATATTCAGCGTCTTTGATGAATGTAAAAATGGAGTAAATAGACCCATTTTGCTATGTATAAAGAGTGCGCCGATAAAACATGGCCAGACGTTGGGTAAACGTCCTGCAGCGACCCAGTCCAACGTGAATACCGGCCGCGACATTAGGACTTAATGAGTGGAGTCGGGGAGGCAAGGGGAGACAGGCCAGCTTGAATTAGCTTGGGCCCGACTTTGACAGAGTCGCGCGTGGGTAAGAAGAGTGACAATCCCATCCAAATTGCCCCAATGTATTAAATAAACTAAAGGTAAAGATACTTAAGGTGTCCAGCAAAGCGAAAAATGAATGAATTGTATGAAAAATTGCACTGATGACGAAACAAAAACGACTGAACTGTAATGAATATTGGAAAATGAACTCACTTGCACAAAGTGTAATGACGCATCAGGCGTGTGTGTAGTTCTTTAAACATCTATTTAGGGGGATGCGACGTTGAAAACGTCTTGTAGTGACGAAGCAGACTGTTGTTGTGACGGCGTGATTGTCTAGACGTCATTTCCGGCGTACGGCGTCATGGGGGACGGCCTTGGTTACGGGGGACTGTATGCAGCTGAAAGTTGAAAAATGCTACTTTTACAAACTTTTAGGGGTTGGTGTGGTTAAAGGACGGGCTGCACGTGTGAACAGGTATATTTCTAAGGTTTAGAAGTAATAAAATAGAGAATCTATTGAGAACTAAGGGCGAAAAACGGGGCGGCAGTGCAAAATAAGACGAATGTGAAGATGTAGGCAAAGCTAAGAGTTCTAATTTTTGATTGAAATATGAGTGGTGGGCCATTCCCGGAGGTACTGCAATACCGGGTCAACCCGTGATGAGGGCGGAGCAAGCCCCGTGGCACCTCATCCCATTCTAAAAATCAGTTTAATATCGATGTCTCCATTAGGAGACGTATCAGATATTAAGCTGATAAGAACAGATACTTTTTTTTTTTTTTTCTTTTTTATAAAATTTATTATCTAAACTTAATTTTGTACAGGCGCGGACAGCGCTGTCACTACAGGGTCGCCTAAAGGTATCACAGATGTGGACCCTGCAGTGCTAACAGAAACAAGACGAAAGAAGGAGAAAGGGTACGAAACACTAAACAGAACCAAACAACCAGAATAACAGGAAGTACATGTAATAGAACAGTAATACAATGGAAGCAAAAGAATCTACAAACAATCAACACCAGCAACAACAAAACACAAGTAAGAGTTGCAATTACGGTTGCGGATACAATGTACAGACAAGCAAAGACAGGCGCTAAAAGATGGACAGCAACACATTAGATAACAATGAAACAAGACAAGATAATAGCCAGAAGAAGCACTAATAAAATCACACATGGAAAACTAAGGTACGATGAGCATCAAGAGAGCAAAAGAACGAAGAAGAAAGCCAATAATCAGAAAAAGTAGAAAATGAAAAACGACAAAAGTCAACCCTGACACGTGTCCTAAGGAGAGACAAGAAACGTAACACGATATCATTTCCTTTCAAATTTTTATGCTCAAATTTATTAGAATTCCGAACAAGCCAAATGGAATATTTTGTTAAAGTCAAAAGATAAAGGCAGAGCGATTTCCGATGGGAATTTGGAATTTTCGGTATTAAAGAAAACCGAATCACTTCATGATTTCTTTTCAAGAGCCCAAATGATAAATAATCTAACCACTTGAAAACGATATCCCACAACACATCAACACACGGGCAATAGATAAAAAGATGATCAGAAGTTTCTATTGCCATACGACAGAGAGGACAGTTTGGAGTGACAGACATTCCCCGGGCATAAAGAGTATACCCCAAAGGGAGAGAATCATAGACAAGACGATAATTGACCGATTTTGAAAGTGGATCCACAAAATGATTATGCAAATTTAACCAAACGTGACGAAAAGGAATACGTGGATACAACAACTCAATTTTATTTTCCACAACTGTTTGCAATAAACAGACATAAAACTGTTTAGAAGTAAACCGAAAGACATCTATCAGAAAATTAGAATGAACGGCCTCAAACCGTTTAAGAGCCAAAAAACAATGCTGATAGAACATAGGAATCGTCGCAGAATGAGGAAAAAGGTTAGAAGCAAAGGCAGAGCAATAGTGGCGTAAAGACAAACCTAACCAATACTTTGCAAAAAACGTCCACTTAGCTGAAGAATGAAGTAAAAGATCTTGGATATGACGTAAATAAAAGGAATATAATTTTGATTGGATGTGAACAACACCCAAGCCCCCATCTAAAACAGATTTATAACACACAGACCTCCGAATGGGTTCAGCAGTGGAGTTCCAAATAAACCGAAAAGTCTCCCTCTGAAAGAGTTCGACGTAATGTTTTGAAAACGGTGTTACCGCCCCACGGTACCACAACTTAGATAAGGCCATGACATTGCACACAACAGTTTTACCAAAAATAGAAATAGAGCGCCCCTTGGAAACATTTAAAACAGACCGAAATTTAGATAGTATAGGATGAAATTGATCGTCAGCACTGACATTCCTGCCTGTCATAATTCCAACAATTTTTGAATGCTCGATCCAAGAAATACCAAAAGGGTGATCCGACCGACTGCGCCACTTACCAACAAAAATGCCATGAGTTTTTGCAAGATTCAATTTGGAGCCTGACGCTTTACCATAAAAGGAATAAGCAGCCAAAAGATGACCAATAGAAGCGTCAGAAGTACAAAACCCCAGCCCATCATCAGCAAAAGCAGATATCTTTGCTGAATCATCAGTACCTGGTAATTTAATACCCACAATTTGCGACTTTTTTCGAATATAGCCTAAAAGAGGTTCCAGTGCTAATACATACAAGGACGGGGACAACCCACATCCCTGACGGACAGACCTCGTTACTGGAAATGGCTGTGAAATGTGCTGATTAATTATAACCGCACTAGAAATGTCCGTATAAAGAATTTTGACCCATTTTTTGAAATTAGGACCAAAGCCAAAAGCGTCCAATACATTAAACAGAAACTGATGAGAGACTCTATCAAAAGCCTTCTCCTGATCTAAACTAATAAAAGCACAAGGCAGATCTTTCTGATCCACATAATCAAGCACATTACGAATGAGATGACAGTTATCATGAATAGATCGGCCAGGAACAGCACAAGTTTGATCCAAATGCACGATATTGCCTATAACCTTGCCTAAACGTGTGCATAACAATTTTGAGATTATTTTCACATCGACATTTAATAAAGAAATTGGACGCCAGTTACGAACATTGTCCGCATTATTAATATCTTTACACAGGAGAGAAATATAAGAAGTTTTAGAAGAGGCAGGAAGAACATGCTCCTGAAAAGAGAGCTGAAAAACACGTAGAAGAACATCACCAAGAACATCAAAAGTAGAGACATAAAATTCCTTAGTAAGCCCATCCGGACCTGGAGATTTATCATTCTCCATAGCCTTAAGGGTGTTTAGAATTTCATCACGAGATATATCTCCTTCCAGTGAGGCCGAATCAACCGAATCAAGTGTAGGTAAATCAGCAAGGAATTCGGTACAAATTTCATCATCAATGGGTTCATAACCAAACAGATCGCTATAAAAATCAACAAAAACACCCATGATCTCACGAGAGGTAGACAACTTATTCCCAAAAGGGTCTAAAATAGAAGAAATAGATTTTCGTTTTCCTCTCTGTGATTCCTTGCGTAAAAAATAACTGGAAGGTCGTTCACCAATTTCAAGGTCCTTAGCCTTAGATCGGACTAAATTACCTCTGAATTCCAAGATTTCCAAATCATGAAGTTGGTTTTTGACAGCCGCAAGTTGGTCAGAATAGAGTCCAGGATGTAAAGATTCAGCTTGGCATAAAGACTTATAATCGGAAACTAATTCCTTACGAAGGGATGCCTGTTGTGATTTATGAACACTCGCAAACAATTGAAGAAAGGCCTTAATTTCCAATTTAAAAGCATCCCACCAATCCAAAGTAATAGAAGCCAAAGGGGGAATATGATTTGAACAAAATCCGGCAAATAAGGCCAGAAACGAATCATTCATTAAAGAATTGTTACATTTAAAATAACCAGGACCAAAACTTATGCCAGCAAAATCCTTCAGCTTAAACGACACATAATCATGATCAGAAAAACTACATGGAGATATGTCCGCAGACACAAGAGAACAGCGAAGAGAAGAGGAGACATAAAAACGGTCCAGACGAGAACCGACGCCGGCTGTATTGCGCCAAGAAACCGCCACAGAACCAGGACATTTGGAGCGATAGACATCAAAGAGAGAAAAATCAGAGACCCATTGCTTAAGAAGATTAGCCCCGGCCTGAACAGAAGCCCTCCCACCTATTTTATCTAAAGATGCATTAAGAACGCAATTAAAATCCCCCCCTAAAATAACAAATTTGTTGGTCACCAAATATTTGGCAACACTACGGAAGAAAACAACTCTATCCGCAGGGAGATTGGGAGCATAGAGATTTATAAAACGGAGACCATACCCATCGACAATTAAATCCACAACCAACAAACGCCCCTCGAAATCAAAATAGAAATAATCAACAATGAAATTAAGTTTGGAAGAAACAATAAACCCCACGCCCCGACTGAAATTGCTCCCAAAACTCCAAAAAGCCTTCCCATTAAATTTCGACTCAAAAGACTGAGCAATAGCCAAATTATACACATGGGTCTCCTGAAGAAACAAAAAATCGATGCCATCAGTAACAAAAGCATGTGACAAGAGATGTAATTTAGTAGGATCATCTAAAAGTCCATTACAATTAAGTGAAACGAAATTATACATAAGAATGGATGCTTGGAGAAGAGGCACAACACAGAAAAATACAATGCAAACAAACCCCAACAGAAAAAAACAAAAACATCAAACAAATCCTAAAAACATCAAAAATGGAAAAATAAAACTTACCACAAAGATGCTTAAACTGCAAAACAATTGTTAAATTAAAAGAGAAACCGAAACACCCCCAAAAAGCTGAAAAAAGAAAACCATAACAAATTATGCAAATAACACATACCCAAATACCACAAAAACAAAGTACCCATATAGTGAAAAATTTCCCAGAATGCAAGAGCCGCACCCCCCACAGGACTCCTGGCACCCCCCGGAAATCAAAACGTAAGTAACAATCAACACTCACAACAGCCAGCGCGAAAACACATAAACATACACAAGAAAAAGTACACTCCCTATGCAGGGAGAACCAGGCTGTCGAAAACAAAATCATGAGCCAGTCTCGTAAGTGATGGACATAGCATAGATCGGTATCAAAGGGGAAGGAAAACATGGCAGAGGAATTATGGGGGATCATCTATCGGAAGCCTAGAACCAGACCCGGACCGGCGAGACCCAGACGGGGAACGATGGAGAGTAGCAGCCGCAGCATCCGCCACCCCAGGAGGGATGGAAGATACCCGCTGCTTTTTCC